AAAAAAAAAAGAACAAAGGGTCATGAAAGCATGAAGGCTGAAGAGAGGGATTTCTTCCTGGAGGAGAGACCCTCCTACTGATCTCGAGGTGCGGGGTGGGGGGAGGCACGTGGGGTTTGCACAGGCTTCAGTGTTGGAGAGCCTCAATGTGTAGCATTTGCCAGTTGCAATGGTATAAATATTCCCACCATGGCTGCTTTCAAGCTAATGGCATCAGGCCACTGAACACAGAGTTGGAGAGAGGTGCCAGCTCCCAGCATGCTGTCTGTGAGTCACCCTCTGAGCTTTGGACTGTTAAGTCCGTCTGAGTCTAGTGCTTTAACGAATGCGTCCACAGATAGGAAAAACACCGAAGACAGCGCGGTCAGGGAAGACACCTTTCCGTCCTCCCCACGAGGCAGCCTGACCTTTCGGTACTCCGTCCTTCCGGTCTCGGTCCCGTGCTCCTGACTGGCCTTCCTGGCACCCGTGTCAGCTCAGCCACCCTGGCATTCCGGTGGCTGTTCTTAGCAGGGCTGTGGTTCTTTGGGGCGCCCGCTAGCACATGGCCCAGAGCGCTGGCCTACTGCCCGGTGCCCAGCGTCCACACCTCTGCTCTTCTCTGTGATGACAAGCAGTTTCGGGTGTGCTCGCTAGGCAGCGTTTTCACTGTTCTGCTGGCAATGGGGAGGGAAAGCTGGAGGAGTTGCTGGGAAGCTCCGTGGAAGGAAGATGCAGGCCAGCGGAGACCCAGCATTCCTTATTAACTGCTCCTTTCAGTACTCAAAAAAAAAAAAAAAACCACACACAAAACCCACCACCAGTGTGTTCTCCTTCGATCACTGCACCTTTGACCGGCCAGCCCTATCAAAGGGCTGCATTTGCAAAGCCTGGCCCCGGGACCGGTCTTTAATGGTGAGCAGATGTCCGCAGTACGTGTATAATAAACTTGTGTCAGAAGGATTTTTTGTAAAAAACTCCCCAAAGAGAGCACTGCCAGACAAGAAGGGGATATGTGAAGCTTCCAGTTATTAGGAAATTTCCACATTTGGCCCACGGAGCCGGAGGTAGCCCCGCGAGAAAAGAGGGTGCTTTCTCATTGCACATTGATTCCTGTTACCTGGGGCCCAGCCACGCCCAGACACATTCACAGCAAACACAGCTGCTATGGGTTTATTTCAACATGTGCTTCTCTCTCTCTCTCTCTCTCTCTCTCTCTCTCTCTCTCTCTCTCCCTTTCTTTTTTCTTTCTTTCTTTCTATCTCTCTTTCTCTCTTTTTCTCTCTCTCTTTCTCTTTTTCTTTCTCTCTCTCTTTCCCTTTCTCTCTTTTTCTTTCTCTCTCTTTCTCTTTCTCTTTTTCTTTCTCTTTCTCTTTCTCTCTCTCTTTCCCTTTCTCTCTCTCTCTCTCTCCTTCCTCCCTCCCTTCCTTCCTTCTTTCCTTTCTTGCAAAATGCTGGTTTCTCTTCCAAACTTTCTATATATTATTAGTACAACAGCTTCTTTTAGCAACCACAGGTGTCTGGGACCACCAGTCTCATTTCATGGTTCCTCTGTCGTCTGTTTAAATTCCCTCACGGTGCCCGCTCTCAGACTGACTGTTCAAGTACAGGGGGAGCAGGCTCCCTCGTGGTGCCCTGGGGAGGGGATGCGGTCTGTCCGAAAGGCCGGAAGATTTTCTGTTCAGATTACCCAGGCTTCTTCAGAGCTGCCAAGAGTCGTAATATATGTATGCGATAATACCCTTTCATTCAGGAGAAACCGTGGTTGGGAGTGTAATCCAGTGCGTCCCTGCCCTTGGGTCCAGGGCCGGGTGTACCAAGGTGGCCATGACCAAGAAGAAGACTGCCATGTGAAATTACTCGGGGACAGAGCCAAGGGGGAGGCCTGGCTGCCAGGGTGTCACGGGTCTCACCTGCTTCCTCATGGTGAGCCCCCGAAGGGCATTTCTGCCCCAAGCCTCAGCCACCCGGCGCTGTCACTGTGACTTCCCAGAAGGTCCCCGGCATTCAAGTAGACCAGCCAGTGCTCAGCTGAGCTGAGGGCCAGCTGCGGGCGCAGAGCAGGGCAGCCCGAGAAGCGGACCCTGAAGTCGCACAGTGACTCAGAACTGAGCAGGAAAGTAGAACGCAGGGAAGAATTTCCCAGCCGTGTCGTGTCATGAAGCTCCCCGGGCTGGGGGGTGGGCCCACGTACAGATGGGCCAAGGCCACGGGGATCCAGGTTCTGTAGACCCGGGAGAGGGCCTGGACTCCGGATGTGGAACAGACGCCGCAGTAGGTCTCCCCGCCAGGCAGGTGTGGGGACCGGGAGGGCGGGGTGGAGTCGGAACCTGACCCCAGTTCAAACGTGGCCTCTACCGGGGAGTTACCGGGTGGCCTTAGAAAGTCGGTTCACTGGTCCGAGCCTCGGGCCCCTCCACCCTAAAATGGGGCTAGTAGTAACACCCACTTGGGACTGTTTCTGGGAGGGTGAAACGGGAAAGCCCAGAAGCAGGTGCTCAGCACAGTGCCTGGGGGCATTTTAAGCTCATGGTAAATGTGAGGCATCAACACGTCACACGCACTTTCTGACTCCGCCATCGGCCAGCCCCTTCCGAGGCAGCAGGATGGTCTGGGACAGGGCATTGCTGTGACCAAACAAGGAGCTTGAACTGGACCCTTTTCTCAGGGTTGGGCTGGAGGCAGAGAAATACTGTACACTGAAAAAACTCTTTGGTGACGGTGGCCGCCGTCTAGCCGAGGGCAAGGACGGAAAGGCAAAGGCAAAGGTGGGCCTGGAAAGAGGTTTTAGAGGTCGAAAATGTACTTTTAAAACATCCCTCTGCAACTCTCTAGAAGTCGTGGTTCCCTGCGTGTTGTCACCCGTGACTCATGTTCCCCTCCCTGTCACTGCTCGGCATTCCTAGACCCCGAGAACAGCCTTGACACTAATGGGAGCTGACAACGGGGCGCAACACCTCCACTGCAGAGATGGCACCGTTCTGTTTATCGTGCTTCGCTTTGGTAACCAGCGCCCTCTCGGCTGCGGCCGAGGTCTGCGGTCCTCCCGGGAAGTCAGCTGGCCCTTTCATGTCCTGATTCATCGCATGCTGCGGAGGGTGTTAGCTGAGTGAGAATTTCTGCTTCGTGAACACGTTACCAAATCCTGACACCAGGAAGGGGGAGGCACCAGATGTCTGTCTGTGAGGAGAGCAGACTCCCGGCTTGGGAGGAGCCGAGTGGCTGGCGCTCCCCAAGATTTTCCAGGTCTGAGGCCTGGCTCCAAGAGCCCCCCCGCCGGGTCCTCCTAACTGGCCCCCACATTCCACTCGGTCACCCTCCTGGAGAAGCGTGTCAGCTGAGCTGCCGCGCCCGGCCTGGCAACTGGGGCCTGTCCGTCTGCTCGATTTCAAGCTGAACATTGAGACAGACTTGCGGGCCAATTTCGACCCAAACGACACGTAGGATGGGGTGCGACGCCGTGACTGACCTGATCGTCCTCCCCCTTTGAGCTCTCGAGACTTTCTCGAGGCGCGCACAGTGGTCAGGGGTTCGGGTCACTCCCGGTTGGGAGTTCCATACAGGTGCCAAACCTCGATCCAAAATATTTTATGTTTTAGGGCCCAACGTAAGGCCAGGGGTAATAAAACAGCATTCTCTGATTTTAGCAGAAGCTGGGGGTGGCGGACGGGTTCCCCATAACGGCAATGCCAAAGACTTAGGCCAGCCAGCCAGTGAGTGGGCTGGAGGATCGTCCTGAAATGCAGTTTCCCTTTCCGGTCACGTTCACATTGAGGCACAGTTTATTATCGTGGTGTCATGACTCATTGTTGCATTTGGAGTAGATGAGCTTCTACAGATGGCGCTCCTGGTAAAATTTCAAGGGGGAATAAAAAAGACACATTTTCAGAGCTGAAGAGTCATATAGAATTTAACATATTAACTCACCCACGCCCGCAAAGCTTAACTTTACTTGGAAACAAACTCTCACTGATGTGCCCAGACTGAAAAAACTTACAAGGGTTAGAATTCAGTAGTGTCTAAGGTTCTGGATTATGGATTCCAGGCCCGTTTAGCTAGGCGATGGGGGGGGGGGGCAGGGGGGGGATGGGGCAGGGCAGGGGGCGGGGCGTGGAAAAGCGCATGGAAACGTGGATGAGGGCAGCTGGGCAGGTCTCTCCCAACTCAGAAATCCAGGGAATGGGAGCATGTTTGCTCACTGCCCACACATCTATCTTCCTCTTCTTCTTCCTTTTCCCATATCAGAGAGAATCTCTTAGCACTGTTACTGCTGGTTTCTACTGAGGACCAAAGCACGTTTTTTTTTTCACAACTTTGAGGTCACGCTCGGTGTCTGCGGTGGGCCTGGACCACACTGCTCTCTAAGCATGACCCGCAGATGACGTGAGCTGAGGTGGGGGGTCCCAGAGAAGCCCCCTCCTTCCCCAGATAAGTTGCAAACTTTTGTCGCTGGGCGGCCTGCAAAGCAACCCAGCTCAGCAGCTCAGTGACAACTGCCCTGCTCGGTTTCCGTTCTTCCCGTCTCCGGTGCGACCTAATCCTGGTATCGGTGAAATGACAACTGCTTACACAGGAGGTGACGCGCTGCCCCTCCCACGTCGTCATAAACTTCTGCGTCTCCCTCCTCTAGCGTCTCACTGTCCGCCGTTCCTTCCCCGCTCCCGGGACTGCTCACATGGTTATTGCTAAAAAAAAAAACTTTTTTAAAGAAACTTTTTAAAAAATAAGAATCGACATTCTTCTTTTTCATAAGCAAGACTCGAGTCAGGACTCACATGCCATAGGGAGACATCTTTTCATTGTCCCTGTCTGCATCTGGGATGACAGCGGGGGTGACAATGGTCACAGTGGTTCCCTTTGCTCTGACACTCATGGGGGGTTGCTTTTAGAGGTGGGCAGCTCTAGTGAGCTTGGCCGAAGCCGCCTTTTGTCACTTGAAAGGGAGATGTCATTTGAAGGGGAGACCACGGCAGACCACGTTGACAGGGATGACTAATGGTTTTCTTCTCTTTCTCTTCCAGCCATACCTGCTCTCCTTGACAGAGCGCCCCCGAGTCTGCACAGAGTGCATCCGGGCCTCGGGACAAGTAAGACTTTCCGTCCTTCCCCCGCCTTCAGTCAGCGATGCTGTCTGTGCTTTACTGTATTTTAAGCTTCTGTCGTTTCTCTGTTGTGTTTGTGGTCACGTAGCTGGATGGATGGAGGATGGGTTGGAACTACACAGGCAAAATGGAAGATTCTTTTTCAGGATGTCTTTCTCGGGCCCTCTGCGAGGCTGCTGCTTTAGTTCTCTAACTGGCTTGTCTGTAGAGGTTAAATAAGGCCAAGTTAATGAGAAGGGGAAAAAAAGATGCAAAAATGTATTGTGAACCAACAGTTAGTTTATGAAATTTAGGAACCTGCCTTTATATATATATATATAAAAATCCTGTGTTGTATTGTCATCGTTATTTTGAAATATTGCTTTCCCAGGCCATCACATCGATGGTTACGCCTTGTGCTCCAGAATTCTGCCTTCGTGACAGCTGCCTCCTTTCCTTAAAAGGCCTTTGCTCATCCCCTGCCTGTCCTCTGACGAGCCCCTCCCTGCCCCCCTGAGACTGGACTCGAACGTCAGCTCTGCGGGGCAGCTTCCACGGGCCTTTCTCCGTTGTTCATGGCAGCATTTGCCTGGTGACGTTTCACCGTGTGTGTCACTGCCAGACACACAACTCAACGTGTTGTGTGTGTGCGACTGTGTGAACTAGCTCATTGTGCTAGGCTTTCAGGCAAAGCCCACGTTTTATGCTTCTTCTAAATCCCGCACATAAACTGAGAAACACCCCAATCACACAGTCGGTCCCTTCCATGAAACTCCAGGGATGGGCTTCTTCAGCAGCTGAAGTACCTGCTGGAGTCCACCTTTTGTGATAAAGGAAGGGAAGACGGCGCACCTGGTTAAGCTGAATCCACTGCTGTTTTGTTGGTAATTCTGGTGTCGGGAAACCATAACTGGGACTTTATGATGACATTGTGGAGTAAGTTGCTGAAACAGGAAACGTAAACCATTTCCCTGGGCGTGGCCCCAAGGGGCGGTTGGACCTGTTTGTCACAAATGGCATCCCCTTGCCAGCTGCGCCAGACCGCAAGCGCTGCAGCCCTCCGGCCTCAGAGGACCTGACAAGTTAATCTGCTGCTCATCAACGTGAGGGGTTTGGAAGAGGGACGATTTGGTTATGTTTGGGTAGCCCCAGGGCGTATGTCACATTCTCCACTCAGCAGACAGTGCGCCTTACCGCTGCTGTCTGTAAGGAAATGAGAAGGAACCCGTGAGAACGTTTTACCAACAGTGCGTGCTCCGGCCCACACCAGAGCCCTGTCCACGCACAGGCGTAAGACCTGACCCCTTCAGTCCCCCCAGAGCGGCCGTGGGACTCCCCCAGGCCATCGTCTTTGTCCAGTCGGGGCTCCGAGGAGCTCCAGCGTTGAGCCTTGTCCAACTACAACCTGTGGGCATGGTGGACGTGGTGAAGAAATTCCCGCCCGCCGTTCACTCAGCGGGTGTTGGTGTTCCATGTTTGCGATAAGCAAAAACACTAGCTAATTGTCTTCCGTGTGTGGTGTGTCACACAGACTCCAACCTCCCGACCCAGGGAGGAATTGTGTCCCTCTTATCTAGAGTCCCCTGCCCTCCGCCCCAGGGCTGCGTGGGTAAAGTAACGCATCCACAGACGTGTCCGCATCCGTGGGCACCTTCCCCAGGGCCCCCGCGTGGCACACGGCTGCCTTGCCCATTCGAGCACCTCACTGAGGTGTGACAGATGCTCGCGCTCCCGGCACCTCGCTGTGTGGCCGTGTGCACTGTCACTGCGTCACAGAGTCAAGTCTTCAGAAATACTTTCCGGAAAGAATGTGCTAACGTTCTTTCTGGAATGTGCCCCGTGAGGATTTTTCAGCCCACACACGTGGGTAGCTGTATATTCACCTATGCAAAGGCGCGGGAATGGGCAAAAACACAGTCAGGATAAGAAGGGTCTTGAGAGAGTTTCGGTTGAGACATATATAGGCAGGCGTGTTCGTGGTGCTTTAGAAAGTAATGGCACAAGCTTACCAGAAAGAACGCTGCACCTTTGCTGCTGGGGAGAGTGATGAGGATGGATACAATCTTCCAGAGAAAAGCAAAACGTGTTTAGTATTTCCGAAGAAGGCAAACACCTCGGGTTCCACGTTCCTTGTGTTTTCCAATAATTTCATTTCTCATTATGTAAGGTCATTCCTTTTCATGGGATGTATCGCACATCACTGTGAAAGTGTGAGTTTCGTGGTCAGTGGCATTTTCACCACGACTGGAGAAAAATGGAAGTTTTCATTGACTTCCATGTGGAGCACAAACTAGCCCAAGATTTGATGAAAACAGACATTGTGAACATAAATATCAGCGGCTGAGGTCAGAGTTGGGTTTTGAAAGGATTCCAAAAGATGCCGTATTAGACAGGCACAGCCAATCTGTGTAAGTGCACAAACAACTTTCTTCACAATTGGGGGTTACTTGTCAATTAAAAAACACTGCTACAGAATGAACGTTTATTATAGTGACCGTCCTCACGCTTGTTGGGTTCTTCTTGTGCTTTCTGAGCTGGTCCTAGCCTCCTAGTTTTTCTCCCCTACGGCCCATTTCCCCCTGTTCCAAGCCGTTCTGCTCTCTGCTTCCCCCTCACTCTTCTTCTGAGGCAGCGACACTTCTGCCCAATCTCTTCTGCAGCTCGCCTGTGTTTTCCAAATCATGAAGAAACCCCTCCTGCTGGCTGTCAGGGGAGGCTACCACATGGGCCCCATGTGCTTTTCTAGACTCATCTCGCTTGTGTACCCTGCATCCGCACGGCTGTGCCCCCGCCTTCCTGCTTTGTTATAGCCATTTGTAACTGCTCCTTTGCCAGAAATTCCCTGGTCTTTGCCTCCCAGTCGGGAAAAATCCTTCTCGGATTTTGTCTTTCAGGCATCTTTCGAATATCACTTTATCCATAAAGCTTTTTCCAGTTCCCTCCAATGATGCCTACTTTCATCCTGGAATCTCCATAAATTGCTCTTCCTCCTCCCCAAGGAGAGAGAGTGCGTATGCAGCTCTGGAAGGACGCATGCTCTGGAGCAGAGCAGCCTGGTTCACGTCCCAGATCTACCGTGTACTCCTGCATGAGCTTCTCTGAGTTTTCTAACCTCTCTGCACCTCGGTCCTGCTCTGTTTGCTTCCTTATTTCTAAATAGAGATGCTAACAGTACCTCACTCACAAAGCTATGGTGAGAGTTACAAGTGTGATATATTTAAAGTGATGAGAGTAGTCTCCAGTCCTGTGGTATTCATTATCTTCTCTTATGGCTCTTATTTTAGTCCAACAAGGATGAGAAATGAATGGGAAATTTCCCATCCTTGACTCTGTTTTGGATCTTAATATTGTATGTCATTTGTTTCAGCCTAATGGAGACTTTAGCATGCTTTCTGTTCTTTCTTAAGACACTGTGCTCTCTCTAAGGATAGGGGCTGTACCTTACCCATCTTTGTAGCCCACAGTACCTGCTCCATACCAGGTGCTTAGTGAATAGTCATTGGATTTTGCACACATACCAAAAAAATGCAAAGAAAATAGAAGCCTGGTTTTCCCTACTATCTTAACCACTCTTTGGCTGCCCCCGGGCACCTCTGTGCCCTCCAGCCGCCCTGTATGAGAGAGAGGGGTAAAGATAAACAGGAGGGGAAACTTCTCTTGTCTGTTACTATAAATACAGCCTTTCCCAAAGGCGGTCCACAGGACCTTCACTTCAGGTCATGGCTCTGGCTGGCATCATGGTCTAGTCTTGGGACATGTCACAGGCCATCTGTGTGTCATCGCCGTAGTATCCTCTTGGTGCTCCAGCTGCCCACTCCTGCCCGGGGCCCATCACTGCCTCCACAAGAGCCAAGGGACCCGCTCAGCTGTAAGCATTCTTTTTCATCAGACATTTTCAACCCCAAGGATTCCATCAGCTGACAGTACAGCTGAAATAAGCGCAACACAGGAGAAGCATGTGTGTGCAGGGTGGCACCGTAGAGGGGATGCGCAGCATTTGTTTGTTGCAGAGAACTTGAGCTTTGACATGCATCAGAGAGCTGCGCCGACTCTGGGTTCTGACACTGAAGCTGACGCTGAGTTCTGGACAGTCCAGTGTTTATAAACAATTCAGCCAGTGATTCCGTAAGTAAGCACAGATGATTAGTGTCCCTTTTAAGGGAACAGTGTTTATGTTGGCTCTCTCTTGCACCCAGACCAGTGGTGGCCCTTTCTGACTCTCACACAGCTAATCTCCAGATAATGCCAAGCATCCCACAGATCCTACGTGCCCCCCTTCCACGCTTCTCTGAAGCGGGCGGCAGGCAGGTAGAATTATGCACATTACACAGGAAGAAGCGGAGGTACAGAGAAAGCCACTTTCCTGAGTCTCTCAGCTGACCCACCCTGGCTTTCACCCTGGGTGACCCCCGTGGGTGGTAGACACGTTTTAGTGACTCTTGGAAGTCAAAGCCTCCCAGGGTTGGTCGTGACCTTTGAGTTTTTCTACTCTCTCTACTCAAGAGAATGAGTAGATACCCATCAAGTGTATAGCTTGCAAAATCAAGTGTAGAGAATGCATATGATTGACACTTCAAGCAACAAGATTCAGTTATCTTAAAATATGGACTCGGCAGTGACGTTTTTCCAGCCTGAAACCTCCAGAGAGTGCCTGCCAGGTTTCCCAGTGTTAGTGCTTTCTTGTACGCTGCCCTGCCTTCCCTTGTGAAGATTGGGAGACAAGGATTCTTTGTAAGACAATTATTAGGTCTTAGCTCCTCCTTCAGCTGCCAGAAATTTGCTGAGCGCTGGTTGGGGGTAAGTAGATGCTGACCACTTCATCGATGAGGGGCCTGGTCTTCTCTGGGTGGGCTCAGGCCAGTGCGAGTGAAGCCTCTGACACAGGAAGTGAGCACACAGTTCAAGGTCAGCCTCCCCAACCACCTGCAGGTCCTTTCTGGTGACAGACCTATGTCAAGATCTTCTCTTTCTCCTGGAACCCGAACAGTGAGAAAACAGTTAGAAAT